ACAAAGTACAAAACCAGGCTCATTTATTCTTCTTTTCCAATAAACGAGTCTTCGCGGTAACGTCGTTCACTGTAATGTCGTTTTTTGTATTCGCGGTAATGTCGTTCGCGGTAATGTCGTGTCACGGATATCAAGGATATATACAACATCATATGGCAAAACTTAGAACTTTTCTCTGTCTTCAACTTCACACGTCAGCGAAGCATAAATAAAGTACATGGCTTTAAGGAACGTAGTTAGAGACGGTTCTAATGACGTCAGCGCCCTACCTATGCTAGAAAATATTATGAATAGAGAAAGATGTCTTTTTAAGACGGTCTAGAGGAAATTTATAGGACACGATCAGGCACGTAATCGGGTAATTAATATCTGATGACTTCTTACGTGATCTTATGAAATCTTGTAAGATCTTGTCATTTTTTGCACGGCCAAACAAGATCCTATCATACATTCGTGCAAAATCTTATGAAATCTTCTGCGGAATCACGAAGACTGATTCATATAAAATCTTGTACAGTTTCGACAAGATCTTATAGAATCGTATGAAATCTTGTGATATGATCTTGTAAGATTATATAAGGTCTTGTACGATCATTTGACGACATTTGTGGACCTGGAAGTGGAAAGAAAAGAAAAAATTGTCTTTTCTTTTACATCTAGTACAAAGTTTTCAATAGTAAAACCTTGCTATTCATGATAAAGTGAATGTATCCATGAGCTAGATGAAAATCTCGCTGTAACTGTATAAAATTCGATTAGTTCTTCTCACATTTTTCTCAGATCTCTAAACGAGAAACATATTTCGGCGACATCGTTTTCATATTTTTTCTTTTGTTTGGTATTCATCAATGGAAAAGTAAGATCCAACATGTATACTCTGGACCCTTATTTTCGACTGGTTAAGATATACTAGGACTGAGTTTAGTAGCTTATCCTTTCAACTCGTTGGTTGAAACTCTGAGAGTAAAGTATGGAATAAAAGTGAGTTTTTTTCAATTTGTATAGCTGAATAAATTACTTAATGGAAGTAGTATGCTGGAGATGCTTTGGATTCAGAATTCAACAAGTTTGATCTGAGCAAAAACGCAATACAGGTATATGTAGGTACTCGCTATGGTGAGTAATTTGTTTTGAAGTGTCAGAATGCAAGAGAAATATTTTTTACCTTTTCTGTTCGAAAGTGAAAATTAAATTCTGCATACCGTATGTTCTGAACTATAGTCTATATTCTGTGTATAATCTATGTGGCAGACACATGCGTGGTTGAAGAAGTGTGTTTTTCTTATTCTCGTTTTAAACGAGACATGCAAAAAAAACAGTGTCCGTATGCATTATATATAACGGACACTAGAAGTGCATTAAGTAAGTACTTTTTTTTCTTGATCACATTTGTTGACCACAAGGCACAAGTCCATAATGGACGGTAGAAATTTCCATTCTCAGTCACAGCGATGCTTAGTCTTAGCGTATCCTAATCACAAAGACATTATTTTTTTTCTAAACTCTTCCTTCCAGTAAGTCCTTTGTGCAACAAAAATTATTGTTCGCAGTTATTAATAAAGTTGTACGCTGCCGAAATGCAACTAATGTTATCAAATGCTTGTTTTTAACGATCTTGTGGATCGAACAAACCGAAGAAATAGGCTGCTATATTTAATTTGCCTTTTCTGTGTCTTCAGGCTCCTATATGGTGAAGTTCGAAAACCATGTAGAAATTATCTTCTACCTAATGTTCCTCACAGTTGGTGATCACAGCAGCTGCATCGCTTTACGATATTCTCAAAGGAGAGAAGTTTTCTGTTGGTCTGGCGTCAGACATTACAATGCGTTATTCTTGAAAGAAATAGCTGTTGCTTATGCATATAAAACTACATTGGTTGCGGGGCTTCCATGGTCGTCTGATTTTGGCAGAAAAATTCTGAATTTTGTAACTTTTTCTGCCCTGTTTCTATGCTTTTTTCTGCTAAGGTATTCCGATTTTCTGTTTTTTAACTTATGTTCTGATTTTCCTGCTTTAGATCTGATATTCCTGATTGGTTGTATACTTTACAATATTAGGTTTTCAAAATAAGACAAAATATCAACTTGATTGTTGTACCGTTACTCTTTTGTTGCTTCTAAAGATACCGAAACTAAATGAAGAGCGTGCTACAGATTTTATGATATGTAGAAAACTGATTCTGTAATTAGAGTTTGTCGTTCAAGAAATACAATTTCGGAACATCTGTAAATAGAAATGTGGAATAAAAATGTAACACCAATTAGTGCTAGGAACACAAATGCGGATTAATCGATGGTTAAACAACGCTCTAGTTCTTGTGTATTATTTTACGTTATTGAGCTCTGATCATGAAAAGAAAACAGTTAGCTCTTCCAACATTGTATGAGTTTAGAGTAAAATTCTAATTATAAGTTTTATCCCATGTTGTTGAAAACGGACGAAAACCGGCAGTTAACCACAGTTATTTTAAAAATTGACGGTTAATCGCGGTTATTTCAACTGAAACCATAGTAACACTGCAGAAAAATTGACGGTTTACCGACCGTTTTTCCGGTTAATTGCGATGTTAACCGTCGGTTTTTCTGCTGTGTTGCTATGATTTCAGCTGAAATAACCGCTGTTAACCGCCGATTTTCGTTTGGTTTCAACAGCATGGGATAATCCAGATATGATCAATTTAGAATAAACAGAAAGTTCTTATAAAAATACTAAAAATGGTACATATCACATTATCTATAGTTATATTTTGGATTCGTTCAAAATTAAGTGCATTTTTTTTCAATATTATTTATTCATACGAAGATTATTTATCATTTATTTTGAGCTGGGATCCTGAATGGCTAAACGAAGCAGGTAATATACATGATAAAAGAAATGTATGAAATATATTTTCTTTTTTCCTGTATTACTAGCGCTTCAAACAGGATGTTTATACAAAAACTGTTCTACATTAACACCAACACCAGTCAAAGAGCGGTATCTGTCGTTTTCTGAATATCAACAAGCAACTGTACCATGGTTGTTAGAAGTAGAAGAAACATGGGAAAATGTATGTAGGGAAACATTCTTCAATACTAGACACCTTTTCAAACTTCCCCTTACAAGTAAGTGTAACTTACAATGAATAATTGTTTGGTTTCTAAAACGATTTGCCATAGAAAACTACGTTATCAATACTATCTTCGGTCCATCGTCTAGAAAATGATTTCGTAGAGTTCATCTTTCGACTGTAAGCTTATACCGACACACTATTATTTATTTCGAAGATCAAACGTGACATACAACAACAAGAAGATCAATTGATGCAAAGGATAAAATTGAACGATATTGTTATTACAGCAGTCAGATACTTAAATGGTTTAACTGAAATAAAGTGTCAACGTCATGGTTGTATGATAAGCTATTCAATAAACAAGTTGTATGAAACTCTTTTTCAGTGTTGGTAAATGTCAGTGACAGCAATAGTAAAATGCCAAAATTCAATGATCTGTTAATTATCACGTGCAAATCAGAAAAAGTATTTGGTTTATATCAGAATAAATAACGAATATATAAACGTGAACAAATCCATTCTTCATATGGTTTGTAGAAGCTACATCTGTATTTGTGTACATCAACGTTCAGAGTAGGGTCAGATTTTTCGGAAATTAAAGACTTTTCTATGAAAAGTTGTCCGTCGGTACACAAGCTCAGGATGAAAGGATGCAAAAATATTTTTGGAAACTGAGAGTTGAAGAGTATTTACGAACACGACTTTCGAGAGTTAGCAGTATATGTGCATACAGGAGACACCTTCGGATCCGTTTGGGACATAACCATAACCACTCCGAATCAGGTCACATCTCTCTTTATAGTTTAATTGTGTGAAAATCTTTTATATGAGAATCAGACGAAAATCATTTGCTATTCACAAATTAGGATAGATTTAGTCTACAGAGACTAAAGCTAAGCTAAAAGCAAGAAGTCCTATATTTTCTGCTCCCGATACCAGAACCTTCGGTCCTTATCATTCCTTTGTTTTAGCCAATGATGAGCAATTATTTTCACGTCCAGTACAAAAAGCCTGTTTCGAAATAACGATATTTATCTTTATGAAAACACAATGCAATGCTGTATTTATGAAACACGCTATAATACAAGCAGAAGTGAGTCAAATCGGTGTGTACTTTTCTTGTCGAAAAACGAATCGGAAGAATTGAAATTCATAGCGAATTATCCGGAGAATTGGAGGCAAATTCATGTTCTTTTCTGCTATTTCAGTTTGCGACTATGGGTCGGTTGAAAATTTTAACGACAACATAAAGAGTGTGTAATCTGTAAAATCAATTGATTTTATGAAACTTATTTCGTTACTTTATAGAACTAAAGAAGTAAAAATCAAACGGATGAAGAAATAAATAAAGTTTAGACGAGATTCCAAAAACGAGTACTAATCTCGCATGCATGAGAAAAGAGTGTCATATATCACGTAGTGCATGAAGACACAGTGGGATTTTATCACAATGCAGGCGGCAGATTTTTTATCATCGAAAATGATTGCTTTTGGGTTGGAATAACTGTCTAAATCTAAACGTATTATTATCGCAAAAACTTAACTTATTCTGCAAACTTTTAGTTTTTGAGCAGAAACACTCTAGACAAAACATTTTGTTCAGAAAACAAATATCTCGGAAAATCTTTTTTACGCTCATTTCGAGTATGTCATTTGTTTTGATTTTAAATAGTTTTGGAACGAAAAATACATGTCCTAACGTGATACACTCCAGGCTTTTAGTACATTCTAGAAAAAATTTGTGTACGGTGCAAATCCGAGATCGTCCCGCGCCACGTTTTACGGCCTGGTCTGTGTCCGGCTCAAGAATTTTAGCCCGGTTCGATCCGGCTCCGCGTGAACGTATACATTTTTTGGGAGCAGCTTCTATGGGCCGGATCAAATGCATTCTACACTCTATAGCCCGCCTCGCGGGGTACTCCGTAGAATTTAGATTAGTATGAAAACACAGCGGATATTAAAAAAAGTGCTGGATTTCTGTAATATATTAGTAGATATAAGCTTATAGAAACATGAAATCCGTTGAAGATAGTGTCTTTTTCTCACATTTAATATGAGTGTTGCCTTTCGATCTTATCTTGTAATTTTATCGACTTCTTGGGGAAAAGGCTCACGTGATCAAATTGCAACACGGTCTGGTCCGGCCCGTAAACAAGATTCAAAAACGCAGGCCCTGCCCGGTCCGCGGGGACCCGTTAGACTAGAATTATCATCAGTCACTTCCCAAATTCAAGTTTTTTTCTAGAATATTTTTTCTTTTTGCATTTAGGTTCAGGCATCCCTCATATCTAATTTACGACGTTTTCATGCACTGTCAGAATTGAATAACTGCCTGTTGTTTCAATATTTGCTGGATCCAAAACTGACCGATGGAATGTTTCATTTCACAAAAACAATATTTCAAGTATTCTGTGAATATTTACAAACAAAACTGTTTGGAAAAAGGAACTGTACTACGAGTGATGAAAATGTAGGCGTTGTCTTAGAGTTTGTTCTTTTTGTCAATGAAGTAGTTTTAGACTATATACAATAAATCACAGCAGCGTGTCATCGAAGAGGCTGTTTCAATGGTATGTGATGGAAAGAAGGATGAACCGAAAGTATACATGATTCAAGGACCACCAGGCACAGGTCTACAGCTCTGATAAGACGTTTTATTAAAACGACGTGTGTGTTTTGCTTTGCAGACAAATCACACACGATTGTTGGTATTATACGAAGAATAGCTAAAGTGCGATTCTCTTTCGACTTTGTGTAACACGCTGAACGGTATTTTCTCTTTTAAGACTTGGTGCTTTGATATACGAGGGAAGAAACTGAAAATTCTTGTATGTACTCCATCTAATGGCGGTTGCAACGAAATAACGAGAAAAATCTTGAAACATAACGGTACATCCATTGTTTCGATACGTTCACGAAACTCATTGATTATTTTCTAGACGGATTAAAAGCTAGACGTGTCGGTCGCGACGAAGCTCTTTGTATGGAAGAAGATCTCAATCGTGTAACACTTGAATATTTGACCGAACAACAGTTAGAGAAAGGTATGTGCGTATAACTAATTACTCGTCTGATTTTTTATGAATTTCTGATTTTTACATCTAGAAATTAATCTTTGTCAGAGTAATCAAAATTTGGACAACGATATACTAAGAGTATCAGAGGAAAAACAACAAATTCAAGATGAAATTAAAGTAGAAGAACGGTATCTTAATCAAAGACTACAGCAACACGAAAGCGTTCGAGTAAAATAATTCTATTTATTATTCAAAATCAAAATAATAGAGTATAAATATGTTCATTATAGTTAGACGGGCTTCGGTCACCCTTAAGTCAAACGAGATCACAAGACCAGAAACAGCAGGTATAGTATACATGTACCTGAACGACTAACAGTATTTATTCGCCAGCAACGTTACTACTCAATAGAAATCTAGCCAAAATTGAAATTTCATGTGCACAAGTTAAGCTCGTCTGCACTCGTTTTGTCCCTTGACTTTAGGAACTTATATCTACGAACTACCTTTCATGACTGAATTCAAGACAAAGCTCACGTCCGCCTTCGGTCTGCATTCACAGGGTCACTTAGTTTTTCACTTAGTTTGCACACATAATAATTCTGTTTTATATCTAATCTCTTGACATTCCACTAGACCTTCCCAAGTTCAGGTTTCGTTCCGTGACACGACATTACCGCGAACGACATTACCGCGAGACAATACAGCGAACGACAATACAGCGAACGACAATACCGCGAAATAAAAAACAGCAAAAAACGAAACCTCAAAAAAAAAAAAAACAAAA